AAAAAGTGTACATATTGTGTTGGAATACTGAAATTAATAATCAATTCCTTATTAAACTCTGAACAAGATTGAGTGTACATATTGTGTTGAAATCTTTCAGTAAAGATGTGGTCTACTGTGCAGTCATATCCAAAAGAATTAAAACCCTACAAAAACACATAAATATTTAACACTACAACAAATTGTTGTAAAATACTTTGCTCAAAAATTGTCAAGTTATTTTTTTCAGCATAAATATAAATTGTGATATGCATCTTAATGTACAGCAATAGGTTTTGTATTGTGAGGTGTTTGAATCTTTTCCAGGGGCCGCTGTGGCCAAGAAGTTAAGGCGTAGGACATTCTGCTACCAATAGCCCTCCACCACTGGGTCGCGGTTCGAGACCTACGTGGGGCAGTCGCCAGGTACTGGCTGTAGGTCGGTGGGTTTTTTCCGGGAACTCCGGCTTTCCTCCACCACCAAAAACTGGCACGTGCTTAAATGGCCATAGCTGTTAATAGGTCGTAAAACACAAACAAACCAAACCAAACCAAACCAAAGATCTTTTCCACCCTATTTCAATTGATTCGTTCGTCACATATGCAGTTATGGGGTGACAGATACATACAAAACATGCGGAATGCATACACATCTTTAGAATACCCCACTTTAAACTACCCTAATATTATCTATTGGATACCCTAGATACCATGAAGTTTACCTTTCAGTGAACATGTTGTGTTGACCGTCTCTACCATAAAGTTGACCGTTTCACTATCCTCAGGATACAGTCCAACCACCAGGTTGAAGCCTTCTATGAGAGGTCTGAGGGAGTTGTAATTGTCCTTTAAACCTTTCAAAGCCATTGCTGCTCTCCAGTGCCCCTATTAAACATAAAACAGATATCTCCAGTGCCCCTATCAAAGATCAAAAAGATATCAGAGTAATCTAAATATTGTGTAATTTTTTTACTCTCTAAATTAACAGCAAGCTGTGCATTCATGGACTGGGATATTAAGTCCTATTTTGGTATACAAATCAAAATGAATTATGACTTTTTCTTCTGTTGGAGAAAACCAAATACTTTTTGGCTTTGGAAAGGTACATGTTTCTGGCAGCAGTGTTTAACTTGGGACAAAAAAAAACTGGTTGAATGTTCACATGCTGTAATGTTAACCTGTATGTATTCTATATATGAAAATTTATTTTAATTCGGTATAGTTACAAACTACAAACATAAGCTCTAATGAGCTTTTAACCGAATACATCTGAAAATATAACCAGTTCCAAGTTGATAAACACCAGGCTACTTTTGCCAGCAGCCAGATTTTAATGAGAACACTGGACAGGCATGATTTGAGTTTGATATATATCCCAAATAAGGCTTTCACCTCTTAAATGTTATCTTCAACTTAAAACAGGAATTATCATGTACTTTGAGAGAGTGACTCTTGGTCTGAATAGGCAAAAATCTCAGATTGAAAATGGATCTCAACAAAGTGAGAAACAATAAGGAATTGGCCAGTTTAACTGACTTAACCCTTTCACCCCTATGTAACTTTAATTAACTCTACCATGCATTGATCTGGATAAGTCCATTATATGGTCTATAGTGGTGAAAGGGTTAAAATGGGGCTGTAATCAATTTCTACAGAGAACACAGTTCACTACCTTTGGCCAAGTAGGAAAATCAAGCGTGCATCTGTTGGCATCCCGATATGCTCCTCCATAGTCTCCCATCTTGGCTAGGACCAATGACCGGTTACTGAGGGCCTTCGGTAACTCCTCCAGGCAGAGCTGAGGTACCTGAGAAAAGGGAGGAGAATCAACAAAAACATCAATTAATAACTAATTGATTAGAATATTTTATTGAAGAAGGATTCTCCAGGTTCTGCTGTTTCTCCTAAATTAAGATCCTTTAGTTTGCACGCTTCCATCTACACTAACAAGAGGGATCAATTTAAGTTGGTAAACTTGTTCCATAATTGTTGTAAAATAAGTCGAGTTTGTATACAACTAAGGATTGACTAATAATCTGTTCCGAGTTTCTGATGATCGACTAATAATCTGTTCCCAGTTTCTGAGGATCGACTTATAATCTGTTCCCAGTTTCTGAGGATCGACTAATAATCTGTTCCAAGTTTCTGATGATTGACTAATAATCTGTTCCGAGTTTCTGATTATCGACTTATAATCTGTTCTGAGTTTCTGATGATTGACTAATAATCGGTTCCAAGTTTCTGATGATTGACTAATAATCTGTTCCGAGTTTCTGATTATCGACTTATAATCTGTTCTGAGTTTCTGATGATCGACTAATAATCTGTCCCGAGTTTCTGATGATCGACTAATAATCTGTTCCGAGTTTCTGATGATCGACTAACAATCTGTTCCCAGTTTCTGATGATTGACTAATAATCTGTTCTGAGTTTCTGATGATTGACTAATAATCGGTTCCAAGTTTCTGATGATTGACTAATAATCTGTTCCGAGTTTCTGATGATCGACTAACAATCTGTTCCCAGTTTCTGATGATTGACTAATAATCTGTTCTGAGTTTGTGATGATCGACTAATAATCTGTTCTGAGTTTGTGATGATTGACTAATAATCTGTTCTGAGTTTCTGATGATTGGCTGATAATCTGTTCTGAGTTTGTGATGATCGACTAATAATCTGTTCTGAGTTTGTGATGATTGACTAATAATCTGTTCTGAGTTTCTGATGATTGACTAATAATCGGTTCCAAGTTTCTGATGATTGACTAATAATCTGTTCCGAGTTTCTGATTATCGACTTATAATCTGTTCTGAGTTTCTGATGATCGACTTATAATCTGTTCTGAGCTTCTGATGATTGACTAATAATCTGTTCTGAGTTTGTGATGATCGACTAATAATCTGTTCTGAGTTTGTGATGATTGACTAATAATCTGTTCTGAGTTTCTGATGATCGACTAATAATCTGTCCCGAGTTTCTGATGATCGACTAATAATCTGTTTAGAGTTTCTGATGATCGACTAATAATCTGTTCTGCGTTTCTGATGATCGACTAATAATCTGTTCCGAGATTCTGATGATCGACTTATAATCTGTTCCGAGTTTCTGATGATCGACTAATAATCTGTTCCGAGATTCTGATGATCGACTTATAATCTGTTCCGAGTTTCTGATGATCGACTAATAATCTGTTCTGAGTTTAAGTTAAATCCATTTTAGGACAACAAAAGTGATAGTGTTTTTACATGATACTTTGTTAAGAGTGTTCATCTTCCTCAGATAAAACATATATATTACAACTTTTTCTCGAATTTAAAATCATCCAGAATTGTCAGAAGAGAATTTAATATAACCTTTATATAACCTGTTTTTTTTAACTAATTACTTTAGTCCTTGGTAATTCAATAAGTTTGATAAAATGTGATGTTATGTAAATACATGAGGGAACATTAATTCATATTGTTATGATGATAAAAGTATACACTGGCATTTATTAATATGTTCATTTAGATCAACAGTATTTATTGCAAAGGCAGATATTAGTGACGGGAAGTAACGTTGTTTTTGATAAACATCACCGACGAAGACACATGATGAAAGTGGAACATTTAGATAGAAATAATATATTAGGACGCTATGTAGAATTAATAGTTGCAGAAATATAGTATTATGGAATTATTCATGAAACTAAAAATACTTTTGTGCATGGATGATGCAGATGGAAGATATAGCAAAGAACTGATGTTAATTGTCTTCTTCATGCCGATACTTTGGCTGCCATTTTTCTAGACAATAGGGAACATTAACACATTAAACCCTGAAGACACATTTGAACTCTTCCAAATCAAAGGTTGGTAAAGTTCATTATGAAATTTCAGGGGTGAATGAGTTAAAATTGGTCTCTGAACACAGGTGGGACCTTTGTAGAGGTGGTCACATGAACAGGTTTGACGGTATAAATGATCATTGAGACAGAACTACCTGGGCTATGAATTGTATGATCTCAGTGTACATGTTGACGGCTTGTGGGTACATCTTGTTGTCCACGAAGCTTTGTGCATTCGCCTTCAACCTTGTCAAGTGATCCATAATAAACACTTCTGGAAATACATCTGTAAAGAAAAGACAAAAACATGTGAGTGGGAAGTGACACTGGGTTTTGAATAGAGTCCCTTTCAAACCATCTGGCCTAGATCCATACTAAAGGTTAAGATTCCTTCAGTCTGCCTACAGATGTCTAGATTACTTCATTCTCCCTACAGATGTCTAGATTCCTTCATTCTCCCTACAGATGTCTAGATTCCTTCATTCTCCCTACAAATGTCTAGATTACTTCATTCTCCCTACAGATGTCTAGATTCCTTCATTCTCCCTACAGATGTCTAGATTCCTACATTCTCCCTACAGATGTCTAGATTTCTTCATTCTCCCTACAGATGTCTAGATTACTTCATTCTCCCTACAGATGTCTAGATTCCTTCATTCTCCCTACAGATGTCTAGATTCCTTCATTCTCCCTACAGATGTCTAGATTCCTTTATTCTCCCTACAGATCTAGATTCCTTCATTCTCCCTACAGATCTAGATTCCTTCATTCTCCCTACAGATGTCTAGATTCCTTCATTCTCCCTATAGATGTCTAGATTCCTTCATTCTCCCCACAGATGTCTAGATTCCTTTATTCTCCCTACAGATCTAGATTCCTTCATTCTCCCTACAGATGTCTAGATTCCTACATTCTCCCTACAGATGTCTAGATGTACCTTAATTGTTCTGGACAACAAGTTTTTTCCTTTAAAGAAGATGGACAGGTAACAGAGGCAGTACCATGTTTCATGCCAAGTAATTATATACGTAAGCCATTAGATAATTTTCTTTTAGAAATAAATTGTCAAGAGAGAGGGAAACTGAACATTGTATATCTATTGTATACTGGGAATGTTTTCTGTAAAATGTTTAATATGACCAAACAACATGCTTGGCCCTTGATAACTCTTTACAGTACATATTACAAAAAGATCTGAACAGTTTGTGATTTGCATGTTTTAGTTATTGCTACATGTATTTTATACTTTCCCAACATCACTTAGTCAATACAGTTTTATCTAGAGGCTATACAAAAGATTATGTATTTCAATATGTATCATGATAAATCAAATATTGGGATTATTATAAATACAGTAATCCCCCGGTATAACGCCCCCCCCCAACCCCCCCAACCNCCCCCCCGCATATCGCCATCCGCCAAACGATTTCAAATACAAAACTGTTTTATCCCCTGACAATACTGCCATTATTTACGTTTTCGTCTGATAATTGGTCAATTAAATATTATCATTAATGATTCAGTCATGCGTGTATAATCCACCTGTATAGGTAAACGTGAGAGTTACCCCGAGTTAACATAGTACAAACTACTCACCTTAAATGTTTTTATGTGTTTTGTGGTTGTTGTTTGTACATTTTAAATTTCATTTTCTTAATTTTACTGCTATGAGCACACTGTGAAACATAGCTTCTGACGACGAGACAGTTTGTTTTATGTACGCGGTCAGAGATATGAATCGATTCGATACTGGCAGATTGAGTAAAATAATGGGTGTTCAACCTATAATATTTCTTATAACTAACATCTAACATGAGTATAATGTTAGCAAATAATGTATGATCGTCGAAATAACTGAACTGTACTGAATTCAAACAACTACCGCCACGCCAGATCACGCGTGATGTTTTTCAATTCCCGTTACCTTATATGGCCTGCATCACCAAATATGGTATTACTACTTGTGCCGCCATATTTACTACGTTTTCCATTTTTGGTCATGACACCCATATATAGAATTCTCACCTATAGCGGAAGAGAGATGGAAGTTTCCATCATGGCGGTCAATTCAGATTGCAATTACCACTGCTACATAAACTTCATAATTTTTACAAATCAACATACAACACAACGAAACATGACATTAAATGTTTGAATACACCGACAGAAAAAAATGGTTCCCACAAAACAGTCCACTCAGGTACATGTAGGAGACGCCCCTGATCAAAACACGTAATGACTAAACGTGTCCGTACTCTGCATCCCGGTTTGTATTACAAGTCGCACGGTGAATTGTACAAACGTATTTTGTTTTATTAACTTATAATGTTTAGAATCTGCAAATGATATATATTATGTGTTTGCATTCATTTCAAAACAAACACGTGTATGTATATGCATTGTTTGTTACAAATAGATGCACATCTCAGGCACATGTGTCCTACAATTGGCTGTCCTACTGAAACCTCGTTGTACAAATGTATCACCAAAGTAGGCAAGGGACAAAAGGTGGCGGTATAACGAGGGACTACTGTATAACACTAACCACCAAGGCCTGGAGCTCTTAAATCAAAATGTGGAATAAGCCATTTCCAGTAGGGTAACTAGATATTTTGTATATACATACCTTGAAACTGACTGTAATCAGATTAGTTACCTAGGTAACTAAATATTTTGTATATACATACCTTGAACCTGACTGTAATCAGATTAGTTACCTAGGTAACTAGATATTTTGTATATACATACCTTGAACCTGACTGTAATCGGATCAGTTACCTACGTAACTAGATATGTTATATATATATACCTTGAACCTGACTGTTTTGGGATCAGTTACCTAGGTAACTAGATATGTTATATATATATATACCTTTAACCTGAGCGTAATGAGATCAGTTACCCAGGTAACTAGATATTTTGTATATCCATATCTTGAACTCGAGTGTAAAGAGATCAGTTACCTAGTTAACTAGATATCTTAAATATATATACCTTGAACCTGAGTGTGATGGGATCAGTTATCTAGGTAACTAGATATTTTGTATATACATACCTTGAAGCGGATTGTAATGAGATGGATTCCCTCGATATGCCATTTTGATACCTCAGAGAAATCACTCTTCACAAATGGGATTCAAAGTTCTTTATCATAATGCATTTGCATGTTTCCCATCTTGCATGAAATGGTCTTCACCCAAACCTAAAATAAACAAAAATACCGTCATATATATTTCTTCCTTTTCATACGTAAACATTATTTAAATTTGTTATTTTGTGTTGCTTTTATTTTCCTTTTCATTATGGTAGCGCTGAGGAAGGGCAAGCTTCCAGTGACAGCAGATTTGGTACACTGCAGGCAGGTGAACACTTATGACAACATGCCTAACAGTCTGTATTGAATTGTTCTAAATTCACAGCGTACTGTTTTAACCCATTACCTATAAAATAATCAACAGACAAAACAGTTTTGTTGTTGTTAAAAGAAATAATACTATAGAGACCTACTACATTTAATGTTTAGCTATACCAGTATTTATAAATGTTTTGTGTCAGTATATATCATCCAAAGGTGTCAATTATAACCTCCAGCACCTCCAATGAGGGAGAAAGTGTGTGAAACACGACTGAAACTGCTCAATTTATCTTTCCATTTTTTTTTATCAAATAACTCCAAAAACCATCATTTGATTCAGGCACACCTGTTATGATTATTACACACACCCTGCAGTCACTAGAAGATCATTTGACTACAGGATGTAGATTTTGAGTTTGTGTGAGTATAGACTTAAATGAGGGAGTTTCCAGGGAAATTGGTAGCCAGGGTCATATGGACTTGAAGACAGGTGGTCAGGGATCACGGAAACACCACTGGAAAGAGAGAGCTGGGCTAGATCTTAATTCCAAAACCACCAGTCAATTGGGCTAGTAGTTTCCAATATTACTAGTCAATGAGGAAATTCCACAAACTTAATATTATTCTCCATGATAAGCAGTATCAAATTATGACTAGTCAAATGGGCTAATGGTTTTTAGAACCACTTGTCCATCTGGAGAATTCACAAATCTCAAGACTATCGGGCTTCCCAATTATTTTCTAGCCCTGAAGAGAAGACAAGTAAGGACATGAAAATTAAAGGCCCAGTGTTACAATGGGGACAGTAGATCACGATCAATGTTTATCTCTTCAATGTCCTCTTAGTTTAAGACATACATGTAACATAAATCCCTAGATTCTGAAGTTGGCCCATTAGTTGCCTCTTAAGATACAAAGATACATCAACATGTTGGTATGGTTCACAACTAACTGGATATACAACTTACTGTACCATTCCTGTGCTCTTCTTGTACAAAACTAAATTAATATATACTGGTTCACTGTTCTGTAGTACAAACCATACTTCAGCTCTAAAAATAACTCCAATACATACTAATCACACACGTTTCCATGAATTGTACTTTCTGTTTTGTTCATTTTCAGGTAACATGCATGTTCCAGGTACTCACAATTTGACAAATTACCTGGCTTTTAATTAGTTTGAGATCCTGTTTACACGGTGAGGTGTGACTTGTTCTGGTGAAATATAGTAAACAAGTGATAACATTTTTGTGAGGAGTAATACAGACCCATCAAATTAATGATTTCTATCAGCTTATCTCATTTTACTTGTGATAAATCGATGTGGACTTTGTTGATTGAGTACAGATCTAGCAGCCACGCAGGTATACAGGCTTTGATTTAGTTTGATAATTCGCATGTAATTCTGAGATAATGAAAAACAAGACCACAGAGCGTGAGGATTGATAGACCACAATTACCTGGTGTTTATCTGGCTACACAAATATGATTGTTTTTATATAACATGACTGTAATTCTGAGATAATTAAAACAAAAGTCCAATTGGGTTGAATAGCTTATCTGGTTTTTATCTGGCTACACAAATATGTTTGTTTTTATATAACATGACTCAGACTGTAATTCTGAGATAATTAAAACAAAAGTCCAATTGGGTTGAATAGCTTATCTGGTTTTTATCTGGCTACACAAATATGCATGGTTTGATAACTTGAATGTAATTTTGTGATAATTAAACAAAAGACCAATTGGGTTGGATAGCTTATAATACCTGTTTTTTTGCCATTTACTGTATTTTAATTCAATGATGACCTGATCCCAAGGTGAGAACATTACAAATATGAAATACTTGTGTGTACAGTCATGTGTATCCCTATTATTCTAAACAGATAAGGAGCAGAAACAGACTTAACACAGATAAGGAGCAGAAACACCAAATGGTAACCTTGTCCGATTCCTTAGGTAGAATTGTTTTTTAATTTTTCAATTACACGTTTGATTCTTGTGAAATTAAATAAAGCTCATAGTGACTCATTTTTTACCAAATTATTATAATTATTTAATATAAACAAACTACAGTCCAAATACCAAGACCTAAGTTATTTTAGTTCTACAAAAACAAAAGAATGTAATATAAAGTAACAAGAGATCCTATAGAAGGATCTTGGCACCCGACATGAAAATATCTTTATCAGATTTACAAAAGAAGTTCTTTGCTCTTCATTTTCCTTTAACATACTATTAGCAAGTCCCTTGTTGGAAATCTTAAAAATATGTATCAAATTTGTGAAAGAACAAACTTGAACTCTCAAAATTCAAGATGGCCACCTGTCACCCATCTTGGTTTTTGATCAGCTCCAAAATTTGATATCCATAACTATAAGGACCATGAGGAACCTCCATGTGAAATTTGGGAAGGATCCTTCTTTTAATACTGCATTTGAAGTATTAATGTATTTTACTGAACTTCAAACTAAGGGCATGGAAGGCAGAAAACATTCTTTGTGATCCATGTCAATTTATTTATCGAGAGTGTATACATTATAGACTCATCCATTTCCCAAAAATTCCATGAGGTCAATTAAGTGAAAATTTTCATTGATTAGATTCAGGATTTGGACTACTCATTTTTGTAACAAAGCAGACCAATTAATGTTAGTTATCTACCAAGCACAATACATATATACAGCTTATCCGATTCAGTCCGAAGGAAGAACAAGGCAAACAAGAACACCACAAATGGATGCATAATACGCCTGTCTGACCCTATCCAACGATATTTTGTTTGTTAAATTAAATCCATATTGTCCTTGTAAGACCCAACATGAACACCCATGCCCAAAATTAGGACAATAACACATGATCTGACTGAACTGTACACCACTGAAGAAACCTGCACCAAAACTTTAACTAAGAAATTGTGCGAAAAAAGTTAAGTCGCAAACACGCCCAAAATTTCCAAAAATAGGAATTATTTTCCCAAATCAAATTGATATTGTCCTTGTTAGACCCCACATGAACATCCATGCCAAAAATGAGGACAATAACACATGATCTGACTGAACTGTAGACCAGTCAAGAAACTTGCACCTAAACTTTAACTGGACGGACGCAAACGCTATACCATAATACGTACGTCAAATTACGACGGGGGCATAATAACAAGTGAAAGACATATCAAAATATATTGTTTACATTATTTGTAGATTATTCAGTCCTCCATTCATTTCATTGACACCTTGACTTTGGACCTTTTGGTTTCCTAACCAAGATTTTATATTTTTAGTAATCAGTGTCATATGTTTTGACTGTCCTTTATAAATTACTGTACATATAATGAAAATCCACCATATCTAAACCTGAGACATTGTCATACCGGTGCTGTACACCTATATATGATTTTGACGATCCTTTCTACATTTAGCCATACACTAGTAGATTCACCATAATAGGATGTATGTGATGTTGAATATTCAATTTAATAACCAGAAATTTGAAGAAGGTAATAGTTGAGTTTTCATAGAACAGAAAGACAACAAATATACCTGGCAAACACTCTTTGTATTCACTTTTTGTGAGCAGCTACAATTTATCATTTTATAGCTGCAAAAAATTAATAGCCAATCTAGCTACCATGAAAGAACAAACAGACAAAAAGGCCATTTTCAATCTGTCTACCACTAATGTTGAAGATTGACCCCTGGGCACTTACAGAGCAGCTTAGGAAAATAAGAATGATTGCCAATAACGTTCTGTGTTAAGAAATAGGATAGGACATTGATTTTGTTGCACTGTACAAGTTCCCAGTTTTTTTTTCCATTTTTCAATTGAGTTCATGACTGTACTATAATATCAACAAGAGACAAAATTGGCTTAAATTTCTAAAAACTATATGAATTGCCATCAAGAAAGATACCATTCATTTATATTGCAAAATAAAAGTGCATAAATATAATATGTCATGTATTGAATCAAATTTTACTACTTATGTTACTATCAGTACTATTAGTTTTCTCTCTTAATCTTATTCTTCTCTACTATATGAAATGCTGTTTTTTTAATCCACACTGTTAGCGTATATCATGTCATTTTTTACCCTTTGCTATATTAGCATGAATGTATAATACACTTGTATAGATTACAGATAGTGTTTTAACATGCAGTGTAGAAACACATTGTTCATAAATATGTGTTAAACCTCTGAATTTTATATAAAAAACATAATATAAATAAGTGTCAAGCCTTGTGATATTATTAAAACAATTGTGCAATTGATTGTCTAACTTACATGTGACATTGTGACATTACTGTGCATTTTCCTGTAATGTAAAAATTGTCTGCTATGCTATTTATATTAACTCATTACTACTAATACTATTACATTATGTTATTGTTATTTTATATACTTGTGTTTGTCGCAATAATAGCTCTTAAGAACTAATGTTCCATATGTTGATATGTATGTGACTCTAAATAAAGCTTCTTGTATCTTGTATCTTGCTGCGTCATATACTGTATTCCTGGAATTTTTTGCTGCAGTTTCATTTTCACCTTTTTTGCCCTCTGTAATGAGGGCATGTTATATACTTGACAAATATTTTGTAAGGTGATGACAAGTAGATGTTTATGGATGCCATTATTGGATATTGTCTGCTGATCAGAATTGAATACAGTAAAAAGTAGTATATATATATGTATGCGTAACAGGAAAGAGAATAGTATACTTCTACCGGGGATCGAACCACTGCCATCCCAGGTTTCTAGTCGGACGCTCTAACCACTGAGCTCAAGAGAAATTCCCTCTAGATCGAAGCTAGAAGGCGACCTTAATCCTATGTACAATTAAAATCTGCCACACTACTGCCCCACTTTTAAATGTGTTTGCTTTCAAACACCACAACCCAGGTTCTAACTCCCTAGGCCGGTCACCACAGGGAGGGCCCATCGGGGATCAAACCCTCGATCTCCAGGCTCCCAGTCGACGCTCTACCACTGTGCTAAAGGGAAATTCCCTCTAGCTCAAAGCTAGGAGGCGACCGTAATCCCTTGTACAATTAAAATCTGAAAAGACCAGACATAATTTGATAAAGAAAATTAATGAAATTGACTCCAGTGCATATCGATGTGAACTCCAGTTCACTTCAGAGTTGGCTCATGTGCACATCGATGTGAACTCCAGTTCACTTCAGAGTTAGCTCATGTGTACAAAGATGTGAACTCCATTGCACAAGCTAGTGAACTGGAGTTGATTTTATTGTGTTAACTCGAGTACACCAGACTACTAAGTTAAGTTTGCTCCCAACTGCAGTCCTAAGAGGCTAGTAAACGCGTGATAAAGACAACAGGAAACTCCCATACCTTTGAATAAAACTTCTATTTTGGTTAAAAACAAGCAATTTGAATGCAAACATTAAATAAAAAGAAGTCTTGTCAAATATCAGCGCGCATGAAACCGTTGCCACATCAGTAATGCGCAATGTTTACAAAACCTGCATTCGACGAAAATAATTTCGCCTATTCTTCAATTTCTTGTTTTTGTCCGGGGAAGAAACCTCATACTTACCCTAATCATAAACAACATGGCATCCAAACTATTTTCACAACTTCCTGATAAGAAATGACACAACAAAAGAGTATGTGTCACCATATGCGCCGAAAAGCGAAATTGAAAGTAGACACTTGGCCTGCGCAGCACTTAATTCAAGGAAATGGACCGCCATTGTTTACGAAAATCGTCGTAAAAATTTCCGATAATTTTTCACGTAAATAACAAATGTCAACAGAAATATATCGTAAAATTAGTCAGCAGAATAATCAAATATAAGACAAATTACATTTTCACCGCATCTTGTGATCTGACATCGTCAAAGAAGTAAAATATGCTGCTTTCAATTAGCCCCGTTAAATCTGACAGCGGTTCCCGCCGTCAGTCACATGGAACGTTGTTGTAAATTCAAATTAATTCACGCACCTTACGCTTATACTGTGCCTATTACTTCCGCTATTATATTAGTAAGGACTAATAATTAAGGTAACATTGTGTTTTGGTCTTGTCAGTTTGGAACGGGTCAAGGACTTGGTGGGGGGGCTAAAAATATTTCACTGAAGTTTTTCCATTATAAATACTCTATATATTTTACTCGTATGGCAGAATATATCGATATTTCACTCATGATATGCAATCGTGAAATATATCGGTATTCAGCCATACTCGTGAAATGAATAAGGAACTCCACGGGAAACCATTAAATATCCATTCCTTTATATTGATTTAAACATATTTATTGTCCCAAATTTGAGTAGAGGATTAGGCACAAGTTATATCAACTTATCAACGCCTTTTCCTCTAATACAGTATACATATTGATATTTACATGATAGCATTTAACAAGGCATAGCGTTACATAGTCCGAATATTATTCTGACGTTTATCGACTTTTTTATATCGGTTTGTCGTCGGTTGATCGACGACAGACCGATATAAAAAAAGTCGATAAAACGTCAGAATAATGGTAGCCTACCGGGGTAGCACATTTACCCAAAAAGACCCCAAAACACCCAAAAGGCCCCAAAAACACACAAAAACACCCAAAAAACACCGATAAGACCACCCAAAAACACAGACGACACTTAAATGATATTCAGTTAATATTATAATGTAGTAACCTCTTTTTTCGGCATCAACTGTCAATTCCTTCAATTCGAAATTACGAGAGTATGGTATATGTGTTACCTCCCTTGCATCGCGATGTTACAGATGACAGCATTATTACATCAAGACTCACAGTCAGATTATTTGATCATAACCATTTATTTTGATAATCATATTTTAACACATATATATACATAGATTACAAACACAACGATGAAAATAAGTTTGTTAAAATTTGTGAAAATACATTTGCAGTACATAAAACATAAATGGTAATAAAAGAATTGTTGAAATAAATATTATTTGAACAAGTTGTCACAATTTTAAACAATCAGTTGATATAATAAAACAATTGTATATGGAAGTGTGTAATGAAAACGTTATAATACAAATAAAACGAAATCAACAAGTATAATATAAAATGAAAAAAATAAACCATATAAGCGGATCTAGTTTACTTATACACGTGTAAGTGAACTAGATCCGCTTATATGGTTATTTTTTGGAAAGATAAATATCCCAAGAGATATCTTCCACGTAAATAATGGGAAAAACATATATCCTAAATACTTGGAATTTAAACAACACTATAAAATAACCTAAGGAAAATGGCGGATGAAGAATGTATGACATTAAATAGAATTAAACTAATGAATGACACAACATGTCCATTTGCGAAAAGCAATATCTGAAGAGATAGCGAATCATGTTGTGATTCACCAATACAATAATCTATAAATATGTAGCATAAGAGAAATGGGGAAGGAAATGAAGACGTGACACAAAATTCCCTGTACAGTTGATACTTGTGACCCAATACTCATGGAACTGGCCTATTGTTTTTTTTTACTGTTCTCGATCTTTCAGATTTTTGTCTTTTCCTTTGACATGGCTTTTTGCCACAGTTTTGCTAAGGTTTTGGGCACAAGAAGTCTGTGCCTGAAGCCTTAGCAAAATTGCTTTCGCGGGTAATATTCTTTCTTTTCGCCAAAAAGGTTCTAAAATATACGTCTTTTTCTTTTTGTGTTTTTTTATTCCAAATTTCCTGGTCCACCTCAAATGATGTAGTTTTGCCTTCTAGCCTAAAGTTGCCAGTTCCATGTAATGCCCGTCTTAAATCAAGTATCTGCATTTGAGACACTAAGGCCATTTTTTCAACTAGCTGAGGTAATTTATGCTGTTTGAAATTGGCAACCTGTTTCAATCTGTTATTAATTGACTCCGAATTGTTGTTGGTCCAAAGAGCATTGACTTTCTTTTCCCGAAGAGGTGCCATGACATATGCTTTGATTTTGCATTCAAGAAACTTTAACCAATAATGCTGAAACTTTGTATTTTTTTCAAAATATTGTTCAAGCTCTGCTTTTCTTGATTCATACTCAAGATCATCTTTGCTGAAAACGATTCCGTCTTCGCCAAATATGATGTTGATTATGTGTTGCCTGT